CAAATTGCTTTCTGTTTGGGTTGTACCATTCTGTATTCCAAACATCAGTGTAAGAGTATGTCTATCTCCCTTCAGCTTCCTCAATAGAGCCTACTGTAAAACCTTGGTAGTTTTGTCATTGTGACAAGTAAAGATTATACTTCAGGGTAGTTGTGATTTGTATTTTTAAATTAAAAATATATTTCCATGTGTTTACAAGATAGTTATATTTCTTTTCCTGGGAAATATGTATTCCATTTTCATACTGGATTCATATTTCTGCTGCTGATTTTCATATTAAATTCTTGGGGTTTTTTTGGCATCAACTTTTAGGAGAGCTACATATTAGGAAGACTATGTAGCTACGTTATGTGCTCCAAATACTATTGCTTGCTTGTCATTTACTTTTGCCTTTGAGGTATTTATGTTGTTGTTTGCCATGTAAAAGTTTTGTTGAGATTTCATGTGTTTTTAAAATTTATTTCTTTATTGTTTGTGTCTGGCTTTTGAATTACAGTTTGAATGAAGACCTTTGCAATTCAAGATTAAAAATGAACTTGTTCATATTTTCTTTCAGTAATTTTAGTTTCATTTTTTAAAAATGTGTATCTTTGATCCACTTAGGGCTTGTTGTGTTGCACACTGTGGGAACAGAACCATGCTTTTCTAACTTTTGCTTTTCCCAGAGGGCTTGCCTTTAGTCTCAATATCACTTCTTTTATTTTTAGGCACCAGAGATTGAACTCAGGGGCCCTCAACCACTAAGCCACATCTCCAGCCCTATTTTGTATTTTATTTAGAGACAGGGTCTCACTGAATTGCTTAGTGCCTCACTTTTTGCTGAGGCTGGCTTTGAACTCAAGATCCTCCAGTCTCAGCCTCCTAAGCAGCTGGGATCACAAGGAATGCGCCATGGAGCCCAGCTCAATATCACTTCTTAACTCCATCCTTCCCCCATGATATGAGGTGCTATCTTTGACAGGTACTAAATTGACATAATATATTTAGAACTACTTAGGAACTTTCTATTTTTTTCTCATTGGTCTGTCTATTCATATCTCATACTGTTTTAATGAATCAGGCTTTAATTATATTTTAACAACTAGTAGTGAGTCCTCCTCATTCCTCTTCTTTTATAGTCATTTCCTTGCAATGCAGGTTTGGTGACTTTACTTTTCCATGTACACTTCAGAATCAGCTTGTCTATTCCTGGGAAGTGGGGGTAGATGGAGAGACTATCGGTATTTTTATGTTGGAATAATATTAGATTGATAAACTAACTTAAGGAGAATTAACTTAATATGATGCTAAAAGTCCTACTACAAAAGATGTTTCTTTCCATTTATTTGAATCTTTTGTGATCTTTCAGAGTAGTCCCCCAGCCCTTTCTCTCCTGGCCCCAGCCCTTTCTTCATTCCAAAGATATAGATATAGATACATACACAAGTTTTTGCACATCTTTTCTTCTGTTATATCTTTGTATAAGAAGTCTATCAGGAGCTGGGGATGTGGCTCAAGCGGTAATGCGCTCGCCTGGCATGCGCGGGGTGCTGGGTTCGATCCTCAGCACCACATACAAATAAAATAAAGATGTGTCCACCGAAAACTGAAAAATAAATATTAAAGAATTCTCTCTCTCTCTCTCTCTCCTCTCTCTCTTATCTTAAAGAAGAAAAAAAAGAAGTCTATCAATTTCTTTGTATTATTTTTTATATCTTACTTCCCACTGAATTCTGTTTTTGTTTGAAATAGCTTATCATGACATTCCCTTGGGTTTCTCTTGGTTTGATCTGAATATAGCCAGACTTTTGCTTCCTTACTTCCTTTGCCTCATTGCTTTGGCTAATCCTTCTAGGACAATTTGAGATACTAATAGTGACAGTGGGCATCCCTGTCTTAACAGTGACTACTAGGACCATCTCCAGAATTTCTCTGTTAAGTGCAAAGCTGGTTTTGGGGAGTGAGAGATATAAACTGTATTTTATCCATGATTCCCATTATATTGCATATTTTAAAAATCAAGCATAAGTGTTAAATTTTGTCAAATGTGCCTTTTTAGTGTCTGATAGCTGTTGAGCCTTTTTTGAATAAATCATTGGGATTTGCAACTGCTACTTTAAAATAGTAAGATTGTTTTTCTTGTTAGGTGCTCAGCATTTTGAACAATGCCCTGGGTATAGAAATATATGGTCCCCCAGAGCAGTGATTATTGTGGCTACACATTTACCAACCTCATGGTGTTACATCTTCTATGTTTGATTAATTTGATTTTTGTCAAACACTTTCTGGATGTTCTAGATTTGGGGCAAGAAAGATAGGATGATAAAACTATCAGAATATCAGTACAGGTATGATATGAAGAAGGGGATGAAAGAGAGTATCTGCTGGGAAGAAAAGCTAGAAAAAAATATAAAGATTTGGGAGAAAGAAAGATTCAAGAGAAGCAGCAGAATCTTACCTCCTCCTTACCCCTCACCAGATCCTGGGTCCCATTTCTGGCCTGGCTTATTGCTTCCTAGGCCTCATCCACTGCCACTTTTAATATTTTTCCTCCAAAGTACCCACTTGCTTTTTAAAGTCTTAATATGCTTGGCTGTACCAAATTAACTGTACTTCAGTAAAAATTAATTATCATGCCTCTTTAAAAGTCATTTACAGCTGCCAACCAGCTTCTGGTCAGAATGTGCTGATCAGAATTACCATGCTGAGGAAGGTACTTTCAGCCAAAAGCACAAAAAATATGAAGTGTCAGTCAGCTTGAGGAGGCTTAACTTGGATAAACAAACCATTTTGGAAGGATTTTCAAAACACTGATATTAGTCTGTGTAGAGCTTATTTCTTTGTTCCTAGATCTTTAAGGACATAGGACCTCAGGGTGAGGGCCTCGGGTCTCACTCTCATTTAAGTTCTGGTGCTCTATAACAAGGCAAGAGGAAGTTGTAGACTTCAACCATGAGAAATGTGCATGACTACCTCCATGATATATTCTAGATTCTTCTCTTACAACTTCTCTACTAGAGGTGCCCAGTGATTTTTTTTAAATTGTTCTCATGTGAATAATTCTTTGTTCTGAGAAAAGCAGATAGTAAACATGAGCAAATTTGAAAAGATGAATGGTGAGAATATTGCTATAACAATTGCGTTTTAATGAACTTCCAGGTGATTTCTAAACCACTGACCCAGAACTACCCTCAGGAGGACAGTCAGCAGCATTACATTGCCTTCTCCTGGCCTCTGGGCAAGTCCCTCAGTGGCTGGAAAAGATCAAAACACACAAGCTGCAGGTGAGGAACATGCTGATGATGATCTACAAATGCTTCCCAGCTTGATGATTGCGATGTTTCTGCTCTCTACTCTGTAAGAGCTGGTGATGGCTCTCCTAGATCACCTAGAATTAAATCTACCTTTCGGGTTGACTCTGAAAGGAGTCTCTCCATTTTCTTGTGTTAGTGATTGAACAGGTGACAATTTGGTTATTAAAGTCTTTACCTTAAACACAGGATTAAAAATATAAAATGTTGATGCTCACATGTATTTCTCTTTGAAGGTTTCAAAAAACACCTAAAATGCAGGGTCAAGAGCCAAGAGAGAGGAAAGGTAAATTCCCCTAAGAAGTCTTCATTTTACAGCTCTTTTTTGAAATTTTTGCTTAGGCTCAGATTTTTAAATGAGTTAAAAAAATAAATGAAGCTAGGAATGGAAAATTTGATCTCTCTCAAAAGATTTATTTGAAGTGTGTATTACTTGTAGTTTTAAAAGCAGTCAAGCTCACATAAGATATTTAGCAGCTTTTATGATAACAGATGCTTTAAGTGGATTTCTTTTCAAATACCTAGGATTCTGAATTATGGATTACTTGAAGTGACAACTGAAATCTTCCTAATTATAAAGTGAAACAAGATCGGAGCTATTCTAATGGATAATGAGGTGGAATGGGGAACTGCAATATGATCTAAATATATTTGTTAAAGAATTATTGAATTAAATAAGCAGGGCTGGGGCTGTAGCTCAGTAGTAGAGCGCTTGCCTAGCATGCTTGAGGCACTGGGTTTGATCCTCAGCACCACATAAATATCAAATGAAAACATTGTGTCCACCTATAACTAAAAAATAAAATATTAAAAAAAAGAAATAAGCAAAAGCAAAGAAACTTAAAGCTGGAAAAATGATTTGGGTGGGGGCTTCGTTTTAAAGACTTTCTTTAGAACAGTGTGTTATAATTCTTGGGGGTGGGGAGAGGGAGAGAGGCAGGGAGAGATGGAGAGAGAAGTAGGGCCCCTTTGAAAATGTAATGAAAAACAATGAACCCTTCCCCAGGAGGGTAAGGTACCATCACACACACACTGGCAAGTTTCTGGAGTTCCATAGATTCTCTGGAGCTCACACAAAGGGCAATCCTCAGGCCCCACATTAAGAACCTCAACATTGCCAGTGCTTTTAAAGAAACATTGCTCCGTATTGATTTCTTCCGTTTGGAACAGCTTGAGATCCAAGAGCAACTTTCTCAGCATCTAGGTCCCAAGGCAGTAAAATCAGGGCTGACTTTTACTTAAACGGAGACAATTAAATTAGGTAGACAATTTCGTGGGGTCAAGCGGAGGTCAAGTGAAAAGCTGGACCACTAGACTGTGCCAGGGAAAGAAGCCTTTTATTAAAGATGCCTGAGCTATTTCAGAAAGGTCGCCTCCATCTTTCAGAGAGACCCTGACACAGGCGAGTGGCACAGGCAGATCCCTGAGACCTCTGTGGCTCCGTTCATATCAGGAGGCAAAAACTGTCCTAAGTTGGGAAGGAAAAGAGAATCCATTCACCTGAAGACTCACATGATGCCAGACGTGGAAGAGACTTGCCCGTCACCCCTTCCCCGACAGATGAGGAAACTGATCCCAGAAGGGTTAAGGTGACCTCCCTAGCCACACTCACGCCCAAGGACCTCCCCACAGCACTTCGCCTCCCTTTTCCCCACACCTCCCGAGGTTCTGCCCGGCGGGGGCGCCACCGGGAGACGAGCCCCCGCCTACCGGCACCATGGAGTAAGTCATCATCATCAGCATGTCCTGGCTTTCTGTGCGGATGTGCTGTGCTGGCTCCCCACGATGGCTGCGCTTGTTGCGCGCCGCGCTCGCGGGGTCCGGGGGTGGCGCTGGCGCACGGCGCGGCGCGCGGCTCAACTCCGCCAAGAAGGCACGCAGGGCACTGTCCTCGCGTTGCTCCTGGCCGCGCTGCGCCTCCAGCTTCCGCAGCGCAGCGCTCAGGCCGCGCCACTGGCACAGCGCGAACACCGTTCCTGCCGCATTGAGCACAGAGAGCAATGCCACCGCTGCCAGGGCGCCACGCAGTCCCCAGCCTGCTGCCCGGTGTCCTTGCTCGGCGCCTGGGGCCATGTCTGTGAGCCTCGGGCTAGGCAGGGCAGGGTTGGGTCCCCTCCCGCAGGGCAGTCTTTATACCCTTCGCCTGCCTCCAGCAAACCGTGGGCTGGTGGCAGCGCTGTGAGTCACGCCGCTCTTCCGCGGGGTTGGCGAGGCGGGCTGGGGACTGTATAGGTGGCGCCGGAGCAGCCCGAAGGGACAGGCGTGCAGCAAGGGGGTGAGAAGCTAGTGGAGACAGCCCGCGGAGGAGGGGCGGGCAAGGCTCGCATTCCCAGAGCCTGGCCGGCCAAGCAAACCAGCAAACTGGACTCTCCTTTTTTCCCCCCTGTATAACCAGTGGGCATTGTCATGACCCAGACGGGCACAGCGAGGGTCAGACTGAGGGGGAAGGCAGGAATTCTTAAGGCCTGAGAAGTCTCTAGATTGCATCCCATTCCCCCTACACTGCCTTCTTTGGATGAAATGATCAGCATGTCCAGATGCCAAGGCAGAAGTCCACTGTCCCTGGGAGGTTTACTGCTGGACCCAGCACCAGGATGCCCGTCACCCCTCTCCAAGGACATGGGGCCTCATGTAACCACTGAAGATTCTAAGATCTTTCCCCTGGAAGGGCATGGTTGAGGACAAGGAGACAGTTGGTGTTACAGGGTTAAAAAGGCTACTGTCAGAACCAGGAAGCCCAGACCTGCCTGGCAAGCAGGACTTATCCCAAAGGGTGATTTCCAAGATTTGACAAGCCAAGAATTCTCCCATGAGACCCATATCTGGGAGGCAGAGAGCTATGAGGAAAAAATGAAGCGTCAGGAGACCCTTTTCCATCACCGCTGAGGTGGGGGTGGGGCAGTTGAGAATATCCCAAGACTATACTGAACTTCTTTCTGGCTTAAGGGCTGGAGAGCCTGGTTCAGGTTGGAACCTTACTTAGCCCTGTGGTTGTTCCATGCTTATTACCTTTTCAGGACACCTTCACTTTCTTGTTAGCGCAGCCACTTGTTCTGCTTCAAGGGCCACTGTTCCTTAGTCATTTCTGAGCCTCCTGAAAGGACCTAGTCACTCACCATGTTTCTCTGCTTCTTCCAGAATAGTAATGCTTTGCTGGGACCCTGGGGCCTATAGGAGGCCCTGGTCATATGCGAAGACCCAACCAGAAGCTTAGATTGCTATTTTCATAGTAGATAACCCAAGAAGGAGATGGCTGCTGCGTCATCAAGCCACCTGGCATAGTCAGGGAAAATGGACTTCTAGCAGGGGGCCATGGTTGTTTCAGCCAGTGCTGGAGGAAGAACAGCAGGGTAATGGGTAGGAGGTAAGCATCTTTTGATTTAACAGTGGAGCTCTGTAACCATCTACTCCTCAAAGATTTGCACACCTACAGGTAGGCTTTGTGGCACAGGAGAAAAAAAAAACAGAGTGACATTAGATTTCTTACCTCCTCTCCAGCAAGTAGAGCCTCCCAGCAAGAATAAGGATACTGAAGTTACACCTTAACCAGAACTCTGTGTCAGGGTCTGGATTCCCGAATTTGAATAAGAACATTAACCAACTTGAGTATTGTCTAAGAACAGTCTTCTAAAGGGCACACAGGATGTGGTAGAATTAGGAAAGTTCCTTGATAAGGGGACATGATGACTGAGCAGGGAAGGCAGCAATGTAGACAACTTTGTTCAATTCCACCCAACTCCAACACACTGGAACTTCTTTGAAGAATTGTTGTGTATTGTCTTTCTTTTCTGATCCATGTCACAATTAGGGCAGATGGTAAGGAGCCATCCGAGAGGCAGAGTTGGGGCTCAGCATCAGTAAGTTCTTCTTTTAATTCAGTAAATATTTACTGAGTGCTTACTGTGTATTGGGCACTGTGATGGGCATCTGAGATGTAGGAATGAATGAGGCAGGCAGTGTGAGCAGTTGGAACACAGTGGTGCTTCTGGGCTTTTCTTCACCCTAACATTCATTAATGTTACCGTTGCCCATCTGTCACCAACATCCACCCTCCACAATAAAACATAATTCTCCTGAGGTTAGGTAATGTGTCTTGTTTGACCCTGTGGTGCCCATCATATAGCATAGCAGCTGCCTTGCTCTGTGCTCTTGCTCCTGGACCCTCTTCTCAGACCTTCTTCCCATCAAGGTGCCACACATCCACTTTCTTCCTCTGGCCTATCTTGGTGTCCCCCCTTCCTCACTGAGTCTTGCCTTGCCATACACTCCCTCTCTTTGGACTCTGCAAGCCCCAGGAGCTCAGTGGTCAGGAGCACATGAGCTTTGGAATCAAGTAGAACTGAGCTTGAAGCTGCTTTTTCTCTTCAAAATATTTTATTTTTACTGCACTTTAGGCTTTGCAATTTTACAGATAACTCTTGGGAAACTGCTTTTTAATTATTAATTTTGCTCTTAGGCTGTATGAGCTCGTGGACAGCAACACTGTGCATTGTGTTGTTGATCAACATCTTCATTTCTCATTTAGGTTATAGTGTGCTTAAGTCAGGGACCTACCTTCACTGTGGCCATCACAGCAGGAAACAGCAGGAACTTGTGCCAAGTAGGAATAGTTGATTAATCAACTGGTTGGTAATCACACTTTATTGATGCTCTTGAGCAACAGAACTTTTGAATGCATGGCAAACTCGAGCTCTTGTCTGAGTAGCATGGCTTTGACATGAGTTCTGTGGGGCCCTTCAATTTGTGGATGCCTAAGCCTCTTGAGACTTCTTAAGAAGCAGACATGTCTCGTCTCCATAGTATGCCTACCTGGTATTTCTCAGGATGAGTTGGTACTTTCTACTTATTATTATTATTTTTGTAAAAGGTAGCTATCAGTCTGACCTCTTTGTTGATATGGAAGATTCAAGAAATAGTAGGGGCACAAGGAGATATCTGAATTCCCTTTTCTGGACACCAAAGAAGCCAAAGAACACTGTGTACTCTCTTTACAATGAGAAGCATTTTTTTTCATTAAAAGGAAGATACTTTATTTCCAAAGGTTAAATAGAATGGTCCCTAAAAAATGATTCTAGCTAGTTAACTTTAGGGCTCTAGAGAATCAAATCCAATTCAAGAATATACTCCAATTTTAATTCCACAGCATCTCCTCCTGATTGTGAAGTGAATAATTTTCATTTACTCTAAGGCTTGGCACTTGGGTATTTTGATCCGACATGAGGGTAGCAGTTATGTTGTGACTCCTGATGGTGTTCTGCTGTCTGCCCTAGCTTTTGTCCCTGCCAGTGATTGGGAAGAAAGTCTCTTTAAAAGTTGCCACCAGATACACCTTTCACCCAGTCTCCTCTCCTTTAACTTCCCATTACTACATTCTAAACCTAAGAAATTTCAAACCAATGGTAGGGGATGGTGATGCCTGCCTATAATCCCAGTGACTTGGGAGACTTCAGCAATTTGGGCCTAACGGCTTAGTGAGAACCTGTCTCAAAATAAAAAATTAAAAGGTCTGAGGACAGAGCTCAGTGGTAAAGTGCCCCTGGGTCCAGTCCCCAGTACCACAAAAAACAAAAACAAAACAAAACAAACAAATAAACAAAAAACAAAACAACCAAACAACAACAACAACAAAAACCAACTTCAAACCACCCAATCAAAGTTATCAATTCTCTTTCTTCTTCTTCTTCCCCCCGCCCCATTCATATCCATTTATTCAATAAGTGGTTCCTGCCTACTGTCTGCCAGGAACTGTGCTGGGAGCTAGGAATAGAGTGGAGACAGAAACAAGAACTCATTCCTGCCTTCCTGAAGCCTGTCATCCAAGTGGGGAGACAGAGATTAACCTAGTTGTCACAGACGCGTCATCAGAGGAGGCAGCGGGATTCTGTAAGATGCCATCACTGAGGAGCCTAAGGGCGGGGGGTCAACAGGGGTTTGTCTGAGGTAATGAAACTTTGAGCCGGAGTCTGAAGCAGGGTAATTGCTGACAAGGTGAGGGTCAGAACAGGACTGCAGAGTCGCAGAGGGAACGGTATGGTCATGGCCCCAGGGCAGGAGGTACTGATGTTATTTCAGCTACCCTTATTATTACTTGAAGGGTAAGGAGGCTGCAGTACGGACAGCATCAAGAGGGAGGAGAAGGCAGTGAAGTGAGGCTTGAGCCAGGCCAGGGGCCAGAATCCATGGGTGAGACCTGTAGGGTTGGGGTCCTAGTAAAAGCAACGGGAAGCCAATGAGGAATTTGAAGTGTAAGGCTACAAAGGGGAGGGCTGTGTGGATGAATGACAGATTTTCACTTTTAAAGATTACCTTTTATTACCAGTACTAGTTAGTAGAGAAACTATGTGCATCTCTTTCTTCCACCAGGGTCAACCTCAGCCTTTCAACCCATTTTTTCAAATGGAGTAAGGCATTTGAGTTTTAGCAAATGCCTCTTCCTCTGTTATCTGCAGATAGAAAGATAATTGAAAGACCTGGAACCAACACTTAGATTACTTGGATAATCATGATGCTATCTGGGGTTTGTGTTAGTCTCCAGTATGTCAACATTTTCTCAGGAATCCACTTAAAAAAATTATTTAGTTGTAGATGAACATACAGTATCTTTATTTATTTTGATGTGGCGCTGAGGATCAAACCCAGTGCCTCACACATGCGAGGCGAACGCTTTACCACTGAGCTACAGCCCCAGCCCCAGGAATCCACTTTTGGTGGCTCTAGTTGACAGCATTAACTCAGGGAACCTTTAGGGTTGAGAACAAAATTAGGTGATACTGTTTCATTTGTGAGACCTTAATCTAAACTGGGCAAGTAATGACAGGTTTCTGCCTATCATAGTTGCAGTATCTTTGACTTTTGAGTCACCCATTCATCAGCAGATGCAGAACTGTCTTTTGATTGCTGTAGTGGGATCATTTCAATCCCCCCAATTCCATTCTTTATTTCTTCACAACAAACATACCCTCCCTATCCCATCCTGCCCTTCTGGAGCATTGTAGCCAATTGTACAGATTGGCTTCTCTGGAAGTAGATGTTGAGATGGAATTTGATATGCAAGATATTTCTTAGGGACAGCACCTGTGAAGGCAGGGGTGGGGGGCAGGGACAGGGTTGGGCAGAGAAGTCCAACTGAAGACAGCCCTGCAAAGCCTTGGCCAAGCCACTTGTGAGCTCTGGATGGTGTATGACCCATCAGAGATGACTGGACTTTACCCCTGTCTCCTTGGTCATAGGATAGATGAGGGCAACCTCAGATGGTGTGGCTTTGCGTTAGGTAACTCTGCAGCTGAGACGTGTCCTAACCTCAACCCTGCAGCGGGGCAGCAAGTGACTATTTCAAGGGGAATCTGGGACACAGGTCAACCACCTGATTAGTGTTGGATACGGGTCTGCCAATTCCAACATTACTAAACTTAAATCAATACTGTGTCAGGCTGTGGAGAGACGCCTTTCACTTTTTATCTGGAGTATGGCCTTTCAGTGAATAAAAAAGGGATTGTCTTTAGAAACCATTAAAATATGAAGAGAAGCTCCAGGAGTGGATTCTGTGAGATCATGAGAATCACTCATGAATTTGAAACTGCCTTGTCCACCGAAGTAAGTTAATACTGCAAAGCCCCATTGATGAAACTTGAACCACTGTTTTTTTTTTTTTGAAAGGATCAAACAAAGCCTTGCATGTATAGTGCACCTCAGTTTTCAAAGTACTGTCTTATGTCACTAGAGTTCCATAATAAGACTGTGAAGTGGGCAGGGCAGGCCTTCTTTATTTTCTTTTCTGAAAATGTGGTGCAGGGGATGAAACCCAGCCCTCACACCTACCAAGTGCACACTTTACCACTAAGCTACCTTCCCAGCCCCAAGGGCAGGTCCTAGAACCTGCCCTTTCATAGATGAGGAAACCAAATCTCAGGAAAGTTAGGTGACTTCCCAAGTTCAAGGTACAGAAAGCTCATCAACACTCACCCATACCCCTGCTTAGGAAGTAGGAAGCTTTTTGGCCCAAAGTTTGGACTAGTTAGAAATGAGCAAGACAATGGACAGGAGGCGGGAGAATGGGGGCAGGGAAAGGATCCAAGGAATTTCTGCTGTTAGGGTTCATTCTAAGCCTCTGAAATAAGGGATCTCTATAAGTTGCTGAGGCTGGCCTCAAACTTTTGATCCTTCTGCCTTAGCCTCCAGAGGAGCCAGGAGGTACTTCACCATGGCTAACCAGTTGGATTCTTATCTTTATATAATAAATTAATCCTATGAGTTTGACTGAGTGACAAAAAGAATGAGGCAGCTGATAGGACTGAAAAACAGAATTAATCTCTCTAGCAAGAGAAAAAAAGAACAGAAATTTAAGCTACATAATTAACAAAAAGGACATGGGGGTGGTGGCAACAAATGAATAATAAACATTAATAAAATAGACAAAAAGTATGCTGTTTGCTATATTAAATTCGAATAAATAGAATAATCCCTTAAAAGAGACACTATATCAGATTGGTTAAAAAATTAAAAAAAAACAGTTATATGCTATATATAAAAGAGAAACACATCTAAATAAGACAGATAAAGAAAAGTCGAAAATAAAAAAGAGGAGCAGAAATAGATACTAGGTAAATGCAAGTGACAAAACAGGAAGCATTACTCTATTAATACCCAACAAATAATGAAACCTAAAGTTTAAAGGACTAAGAGAGTTGCTATGTAAAGAAAAGAAAATAATTTACAAAGAAGTCAATTTACCAGTATGTGCTAAAAATCAAATGTGAGAAAAACAGTAAAATTCTCCCTAAAGCTTCCAAGGAAGCCACATGTAGTCAGAGAGACACTGACCCATCCCGAGAAGAGGCAAAACTGGTGGAGGAGAAGACTAAAGGAGACAAGAGGCTTCTCACACGTTCCACAAAGTGGCCCCTAAGGAATCTCTGCTGACCTTAACAGTGGAAGGGAGTGAGGTTAATTTGGGGCCAAAGTAGGGGTCACCCGGCAGGGCAGCATAGCCAAAGACTAATCTACAAATATGAGGATGGAAGAGAAATGAAAGCCCAGGTGCTGCCCCAGGTGACGTGAACTGGTTTCCCCAGGGTCTACCCAGCAGCAGCTCCTGCCTGTACTCCTAACACATGCGCTTGAGCAAATTCCACCTTCTAAACAGATCACACTCCTGGCACACCTTACTAAGTGTCCTGGTCCCCCACCCACTGCCGGACTGCTGTGTACCCTGTGTGAAGTACCTACCTCCAGCAGAGCCTGTACACAGCAAGGCACTAACCACGCACAGCCACTGTATGCAGCATCCCCCCACATCATCCGCCACACCATGGGATGCAGCTCAGAGGCATTGGAATCACCATGCACATGGTTGCTGGGAACACTGTGACCATGTTAGTAGGTACCTGCTGATTGCCCAATGCCCAACTCCTGTTGCCCCTCATCTGGTCACTGTGCCCACGAACTGGGTCCCAAGAACATCCACCTACAGCTATGTTCCCCCTCCATGGTGATCACCCTGCAAATAACTGCTTGTGGATGGAGCTGTACAGTCACCACTGAGGTTCCACAGCTAGTCTGAAGCCTTGGAGCCTTGCGCCTCCAACCAGGACTTTCTTCATATTGCTCCTGACACTTAGCTAAACTGGTCCAGCAGCTCACTGCACCGTTAGTCTTCAACTAACTCTGCGAGTTGGTCTTAAAGCAAATCCTGTTTTGTGAACAGTTTGGCAATTTTGTTTTTAGCTAATTGTAATGATAAAAAGGAAGTAGTAATCTATTCTGAATCATATTTAGTTGAATGCATGTTTGAAAGAAAAACAAAGCTTGCTGAATCTTCCTGCAGTGACTGATGGAAAACAATCACTGGCGAAACCCAAAGGAACTGTATCACTGATGCACTGCTGTATGCAAAGTCTTAAAGTTAAAAAAAGGAAACAAACAAAAAAACCGGCCATTCATAGATATTTAAAAGTAAAACATGACTTGAGATGTGTACTTGTGTCAGCCCTACCAAGAGTAAGTGAAGCCAAGAAGCTACAGAAAAAGGGGCGTTATTCATGAGTGTCTGATGATAACTATCAAAAAAGACTTGGCTTGGCCCACACCTGTGATCCCAGTGGTTCTGGAGGCTGAGGCAGGAGGATCAAAAGTTCAAAGCCAACTTCAGCCAAAGCTAGGTGCTAAGCAACTCAGTAAGACTCTGTGTCTAAACAAAACACAAAATAGTGCTGGGGATGTGGCTCAGTGGTCCAGTCGCCCCTTAGTTCACTCCCTGGTAAACTCTCCCCCACTCCCCCACAAAAGAGACTTGGCCAAAATTCTAAGTTTTTCCTGAGTTGTCCTGACTTAAGTCTGATCTAACAGACATGCTTTTGAAAGAAAAAAATCCAGAACTTGAGATGTAAATAAAACTATTTAAGCTAACTTGTCTGTTACTACTATTAAGACCTTTGGCTAAGCCTCCCAAGATAAAGCTAATGGGCCCAGAATTAACCTAGCCAGTGCCACTGCAGGGCTACCTCACATCATTACTCTGTTGAAATAGACAGCCTTCTTCCTTAGTCTCTAATAAATCAGAACTCTGCCTGGCCACCCTCAATAGGCCCAATGATGCTTAGGCATGTCAGCTAATGCACTCATCTGTACTATCACCTCTAAGGGAGTCCCCCAGAGCAGCCTGAGTGGAGAGGGAAGAAATGCTCAGAAGATGAAACTCGGGACTATCTGAGCTCTCATCCCCAAGAAGGTAGTTATTACAAAGAAGATAAAACAGACTGTTATGCTCACATAAAATTAATTCCACAGTTGTTCTTTACCAATGAATGCATTTTGAAGTCTAAAAATAACCATTGTAAATGAAAACAGTTGGCTTATTAAAAAAAAAAAAAGACCTTTGGCTACTATACTTCTTAATCTCCTTCTGAAATTTGTATCTTCCAGATTGCAACCAGTTCATGATTAAGATGATGGCAATGCGAGGACTCCAACCCAACCCAACAAGTGGGACCAGTCTTTTCTCTGTCTGCATTAGACCAGGCAGGAGAGACTTTAGATCCCTGGCTAAGCAGCATCACCACTCCTTACCAGCTTGAAGCAGCCATAGAAGATGGATCTTTGCCCTTCATTGAGCCTTAAAAATAAGGGATCACAAGTCTTGGGGGGTTGGGAGAGAGGTGAGACATGAATTTGGAGATACAGAAATGGAAAGATAAGACAGTCTCAAAAAAGGAGTGCCAGGAGCCCTGGAAAGCAGGAAGTACCCATGAACCTTTAAAATACAAGCATTGATGAGCAACCCAGTCCATGTCCTTAGACTGTACCCTTGACCCATGCCCTTGGCCCATGCCCTTGCCTGGAAATGTATCATGAGGGAAAGGCACAAGCACTGGGAATACTGGTGCGAAGTTGTGTACCTCTGCCTTGGCTGCACCTCTAGTCCAGCCCCTAGCATTTGTCCCTCTATAAATATCAATGCCCCACACCAAGGGGTCACCAACTTTCCCTTTGGAGATGGCCTGCATTCTCTCTTGAATGTGTACTTCTTACTTTACCGCCCCCCAATGTCTCTTCCCTGAGAGAGCCTACATTCTCCCGGAATGTGTCTCTGTTTTCCTAAATAAACCTTTGTCTATGTCTCTGACTGGCGTGTATGCAAAAATTCCACTTATCTTGAGTCTGAGGTCCCCTGTGTGGGAACTCCTTAGGCTTTGGTGACAAAACCATTCATGATTCTAGCACGTTTTTGCTTTGTATACATTAAGAGGTTGTGCCCACTGAACAGCCCACTTCCCATCCAATCCCACCCCATAATACAGATATACCTCTTGAGAAGATGCAATCATACTACGCTTATCTTCCTGGGTCAGTATATATGTTTGTCTGTTGAGGTATTACCCAGTCCTTATTTCATGAGGAGGGATTTTCCTAAAATACCTATCTTCTTGCTCCCTCTACTCCCTTGCTTTTCCTTGTTAGTTTTCCATCACTCTGATCAAATACCTGAGATAAACAACTGAAAAAGAGGAAAGGTTTATTTTGGCTAATGGTTTCTGCCAGGGTCACTGACAGCTTCTTTGCTAAATACAACAAACACTTTCTAATCTGAAGGACCATCCTCTCTGCAACCTTGGATACTCCTTTGGTCTTGGCTTCTGTGACACTGCTTTCTCTTGGTTTTCCTCCTCCTATTTCTCTGACTGTTCTTCAGCCTTGATTCCCCTCCACTGCTGGTGTCACAATGATGGAAATTGGGTTTATGCTGGTATTTAGTGGATGGGGCCAGGGATGTCAGAGGCTCTGCAGTAGTCAGGATAGTCCTGCATGACTGTCAAATGTTCCACTGTGTATTCATGGCTATGAAAACCCTGTTCATAATTAGTTAGATCTAGTATCAAGCTCCATTTTATATATAAACATGAAGGATTTTTAAAGTTTTAACATGCATTGACTTTTTCAGAAGTGCAAGCTGAAGTGAAGGGGGTACTTTTTTTTTTTATCAGGACTTTGCTGAGGATTGCTCCAAACTCTGGAAAATCATGTTATGAATGGCAACAGCAGTCACATTCATAGCAAGCCATCCTCACAACACACTTGAATCTGTGTGCCCTGATATCTGTTGCTTCGATGGTGATTCTGCACACAGGTGCAGATGTCTAATACATGTTAGGTATTCCAGTGTAGTTGTGTACATGTTTTTTTTTCAGGGATCAAAATACTTATTTTTCTATAAAATTGATCTTCTGTGTTCTTTGATTTTAACATAGTGTGTTATAGTGATATATTTAATATTATGGATTTTGGGGAAAATTTCATGTGTATAAGAAGTTAGTGTTGTCTATGGGTTTTGTTGGAGCACAACAAAGGAAGAGTTATAAATTACTTGTTAGAAGAAGGGAACTGTGTCACTGTAGCTGAGAGCTGCTATTCTAATTGAACCCAGTCTCTAAAGAACCACTCATCTGCCTGTTGGGCTGAACCCAGCTCAAAGGGTGCAGTGAAGTTACTGGGTGTCCCATCACCTTATCTTCCACTTCAGGAAGACTTCAGAAATGAACAAGTCCCTGAGCAACTGGGTAATCTGTTTTACTCCTCAGAGTTGCTGAGATCTTTCTCTCTTCAACTAAGGGATGGGAGGATGAAGAGACTTCACACCTGGTTCCTCCCAGGAGCATGCAGATTCTGCCTCCTCCCTGAAGGTTTCTGGGTTCCCATCAGCTCTGTCTTGAGCAAACTCTTTCCCCTTCTTCTGTTCTGTTGGGACTTGCTCTACTTTCACTTTTTTCATAAGTTCATTTCTTAATTTCTCAAACAGACTGTAAACTCCTTGAAGGGAGAGATTGGCATGCCCCAGGTCCCAAGGCATTTAGTAAGAATGTCGAATGAATGAAGGAATGGGTGGATGGAGACATGGATGGATGGATTAATGTGTGCATGATGAGGAGAATATCAGATGCTCCATTGATTTCACCCTGGTATCTGTGGAAGTCAAATGGAGAGAAAGCTGCTTTGTGCTGTCTACCCAGCCAGCTTGCCAGCTGAGCCCCTAGTGGTGCCTTGGGCTTTAATCAGGAGTTTAATTAGCTCTGGCACTTGATTCTGCAAAAACTGGGGAAATGCAATGAGCACAGGCAGGAGAGATGTGGGCCTTTCTATGGTGCTGTGTATCATTCACTGGCTTCCGTGTAGGACTGGACTCAGTCCTAGGTACCTGCTAAATGTTAGAAGCATTTGTTCTTTCAAAATGCCAGATGATTAATACCTTTTACTGAATGCCCAAATCCTAAAATATGAGCTGCTTTTGGATGGTGAGTGGTGTACACAAAGTAGCTGGGGCCATCGTGGGTGTGGGGAAAGAAATTCTGGACTTGAATTCTCAAGACTGGGCTTGGCCCCTGTTTCCTACCAAGAAGCTGTATGGCAAGTCAGTGTATATTTCCAGGTTTGAAAGTCTACAATTCAATGACATGCAGTAAACAGCAACTTAGAGGGATTACAGGGTGATGTGTTCAGGGAACACTGACCTTGAAGCTAGAGTTTAAGCTCTCAGGCTCCCCTTGGCATAGGCCCATCCCAGTGGTCCTGCACTTCATTTTGACAGATGGTAATATTACCCTAAACCTGGTTCAAAATTCTGTGTTCCTGGCCAAAGGGCTTGAGGAAGGGCATTTTCTGTTATATAACTCTGTTCTACTTCATAACTTCTAATTTTTGAGTTTCAAGGACAATGGGTCAGGTACATTGTTCCTTTCTTAGGTACTTAGCATGACTTTGGACAGTTCTGATAAAGGAAAAAAACAAAACAAAAAACAAACCCAAACAAACTAATGAAAGCCTAGATCTCTGGAATTTACCAGTGTAATATTTAAACTTGAGTCACATTCTACATTTTCTTGTAGTTTAAATTTTTAACAACAAGAACACTTTTACTGTAGGATCAGTATGATGTCTTATCTCTTGTCCAGGAGTTCTCAGTATTTGACCTAAATGCTACAGCTGCATACCTCTTTCTTTGTTTATCTAAAAGAAATTTGCCTCTGGCTAAACTATGCATGGAGCTGACCGGCAAGTCTTTGCTGTTGTAGCCATCCGCACCAAGAATAGGTTAGGACATCATTCCTAATCAAACTGGGAATGTTCTCTGGACTCAGAAATTCTCTTAATTACTTTATCTTGAAACTAACATTTTGTTCCATTTTTGTGGAGAAGAGAAGGAGATGTTTTCTCTCTCTACTCTTCTTGGCCATTTTCACATACAAAAATGAATTTACAATTTTACTTCTGATTTCAATTTGTGTCCAACACAAACCCTAGAATTTTGTTATCGTTTGTCTCTAACTTTTGTTTTTCCAATACAAACTCACTTCTACTCTAGAATTACTCTAGGACCTTTAGAGGTAGTTTAAAAACAAACAAAATAGTGAACAGTTGAAATGGATTTCCACTTAACATTTACTCTATTGGTCTGAAATTTGCATTTTCCATTTATGTTTTTATCAAAATGTTTTTTGGTTGGATTTAAATGGACATTTAATTTTATATATATTTAATTGTAGTTGGACACAATAACTTTATTTATTTTTATGTGGTGCTGAGGATTGAACCCAGTGCCTCGCATGTGCTAGGCAAGTGCTCTACTGCTAAGCCACAACCCCAGTCCCTGGACATTTAATTTTTAATCAGCTATCAAGTTACCTTTTATGTTTGACTCATAATTATGTTTTCATTTATGCTATTTTATTAATAATAATTCTTGTCTATTGAAGAGCAGGACTGAAAGGCCTGGGTCTGGCCCAGAGACCCAGAGGTCCAGAGATAGCAGCCCTTTGGATAGGTCTGTGACCTTGTCATACAGGATATATTACTTAATTCATCAGACTGAAGCTTAATAAACATGATGGTGCCCCTCTTTACGGTGTTCTAGTAGCCTATGAATTGGCTTTATTTGCTTTTGTTTATTAGCATTTTTAGAAAAATCCCCCAATTTATTTAGGAACATATGAGCCTAATGGTAACTAGGAATATCTAGACTACTTCCCAGGAAGTTCTGGCTTTATAAAATAGTAATCTTTGAAAAATGACCAAAAATGTCTACATTTAAAGAAGTAGGAGTGTCCACCCTCTTGGAGTCTGGAGAGCTGACTTCTCACTGGCCTCTCCGTGTGGGAATAGCCCCATTCTCTGTGCTGCATGATTTTAAAATGGGACCAAGCTTGTCCTCATGCTGCCCAGTCTTGGAGGCGACTGAGAGACACTGTACATATGTGAATATGTTAGAAGAGACACGTTTGAATAGTTTTTTTTTTTTTAACGAAGATCCCTGTGTTCCTTCATTTTATTCACGATGTAGACAAGCTCCACACACATGCCTTTCTCTACTGTCTGGCCCAGTCTCCTGTTGTCCTGTTATGGCCAGCGTCAGAAGCCCTGCAGTGAAATTCAAATCTGTGGGGTTCAGAATTTTGGAGTGACTTCTTGAGGGAAAAACAATCCACATACACAAAACAACATTTGGAATCTCTGTGGTGAGTTAGGGAGGTGGGGGGTGGAATGGAGCATGGAGAGGGTTGGAAGGGAAAACTCTGGCATGTTCTGCTCCCTCTCCTTCTTCTCAGAAGAGCTCCTGAGCATTGGAGCTATTAGATATGACACAGAAGAGGGTGGGTCCAGCTACCTGGCAGAGGAGACTGAAGCTGGGGCTGGGGACATGGGCTTTGAGATCCGTGCTGAGCTTTACAGTTTGCAAGAACTTTTACTTTATCTCATGGGGTAGGTCAGCGACTCATGGCCATGTAGCAGTCATAGCAGCGGATTTTGGAGGGGTCAAATAAATTTCTAAATACTACATACTTGGGAAAAAAGGAGAGCCACACCCCAATCCAGAAATTTGGTGTTGGAAAGCTCCCATGCCACAAAACATCTCTCTGTGGGTTCATCTTGGAGGCTGGCCTCAAGTTCTGTTATTCAAACATTGGGAACTTAATTGATTTTCTTTCCCCATAGGACATCAGTATTTTCATTCTTTAGGAATTATTATGCCTGGGCATGGCTACTTCCCAGCTCAGAGTAGCTTCTCAGTAGCAGAGGTTCTCAGCAGATAGGAATGAGAGGGCTAGAGACGCCTGGCATGATGGCCACCCCAGG